TGGGGACATTGTTTAGTGGTGGACTTGGCTGGACTTAACAGTTGGACTCGATGTTGTTAAAGGACTTTTCTAACCTAAACGGTTTTATGATTCTACAGACTAGTAGATCCCCTTTGTCCTGTAGAGGGGGCAGGTTCTGCAGAGGCAGGGATCATTAGAGAAAGTAATTCTTTTGTCAAAGAGAGAAAGTGTAATGATATGTACTATTGTGCCATTCTCCCAGCTTGGTGTTTTTCCTCTAGAAGAATTTAGTATATTTTTTTGTAATTCACACAACTTTTTTTAGACTTCATCAGTGCTTGGAAAGACTCTTAGAGGAAAAAGCTTTATAATGTCATATAGAATATCATCGCTAAAAATAATAGCAATTTAAATCTCAAATGTCTATGGAAGTGCTGAGAACTAGTGGAGATGATTTTTTCTTTTTTTTTTTTTTAAACACCCCGTCATCTTTTCTACCTGCCATGTGCCTCATTCATACTTAGAAACCCTAGAATGACACAGTGGGCTTCCGAGTTTCTCTCTAAAATAGGTGCTTTTGTCTATGGGATTTTATATTGAAATAAACAAAACAAAAAACCTCCAGTTGGCTAGGTGTGGTATAGTCTGGCAATCAGTTGAACAATGACTTGATGTTTCTGGATAACCCAGTAAAATAAAAGGAAAGTCCACTCCTGTATCTTCTTCCACTATTACACACCCCAGAGTGTCTCTAAAACAAGCCACTTTTCTGTCACCGAGGTTTCTAAATATGCAGTGAAACGTAGAGAATTTCTCGGGAAGGACCAGGCAGAGTCTACTTTTGAAATGCAAGGCTAGAAGAAGAGTTGTGTCCCTGCTTCAAATGCTGTCTTGTAGAAATCTAAAAAATCTTAAGATTAACTCTTGCCATCTAGGTTTCCTTTCTTTTTATTTTTTATTTTAATTTTTCATTTTTTTCTTATCCCAAAATACTTTTCAAGTCTCTAGGCAACAAGTTGTAAACACTTTGAAGTAGCAACTTTATATTCAATATGGTGAGGAAAGTCTTCACTGCTTAGATGGGAATGTATTTAAGAAAGTGAAAAGCTCCTAACAAGTCCATTTTCTCTGCCCAGTTCATTGGGATATCAGAATTCAGGATATGAATTCTGCTCCTGTCTGCATATTGTTTTTGTAAGTTAGAAAGCACGTGTTTTGTCTTAACACTGACATTAAAAAAAAAAAAAAAGAACAGAAAATTACCATTGTAAATGACTATTACATGGTAATGTCATAGCTCTAATTGTACTGCTGTGATCTTGGATTTTTTGCTTATTTGTTTTGTGGCATATAATGTCCCTTTATTTGGCCTTTAATCATAGCAGAACTGTTTCATGGTCTGGTTTGTCAGAGCTGTTACTGCTTCATTGCTTGTAGTTACTAAAGTATTTAATTATTGCTAATGTTTACAAAATTTCTGACTTTTTAAGATGAACTTGTGGAACAGCTACTTCCCTGTGTACTGCAACATAATATGTATTTTGTCTCTCCGTGTGTGTTTGAGTACAGTAGGATTTCCCTAACTGTTGTTGTTTAGTCTTCAAGTTTTTCAGTATTGTCATTTACTAGTATAATATTGTTTCTCTTTTAGTTAAACTTCTTGTACTATACTGCTGAAAACAAATGTTGGTCTGTTTTCAGCGCTATATGATTCTTGCTCTGTCTACAGGGAACTACATTTAAATAACAACCTGTTACGAGTTTTACCTTTTGAGCTGGGAAAACTGTTCCAGTTACAGACTTTGGGTCTGAAAGGTATTACTACTTTTTCTTGGTATCCATGCTTGTTTAATGATAATTGCTTCTCAGATGTAACGGCTGTAGACTGCTAGTTCATAAAATGTTACTGAATAGCAATCCCAGATGTAGCTACTTACTCCACATTCATAAATATTGTTATTTAGGGATTATTTTAAAAAAGAAAAAGAATGAGTTTGGCAAAGCACTCCATGTACAAAGAGGTTTGCTTCTCTTTCCCCAGAGTGAGCGGAAGCTTTCTGTTGGTTGCATAGGGGTTGAATACAGTGCTGCTTTAACTAAGAAATAAGTCTGCAGTTAACTGTAGGTGTTCAACTCCAACCAAAAAGGGAACATGCTTTGTACTGCTCTAGGGTACTGTGCTGTTTATGCAAGCAGCAATTTAAATCTTTTTCCAATTTTTTTTTTTCTCTGAACTGTATGGATTCTAGCCATAAAATTGCTGACCTCAAGAGGGACTTAAGTCACAAGATTAGGACCACTGAGTGATACAATACCTCTAAACACTGTTAAGTCTGAAAAGTTTGGTTTTCTCCCGCTTAAAATTGGATAATTGCGATGTGCATTGTCCGTGAAAACTTCTACAATTTGCTTATGCATTTACCGGATGGTAGAGACTCTACTCAGATAGGACTGGCAAATAAACTGATGGTGGACCTTTCATTCGCATCGGGGAAAGTGAGCAGAGGTGGCTGCTGCGTTTGGCCTCATCAGCTCTGCCTGCGTGTTGTACCACACCAGTTCTTCACTGCTGTTAGATTCAGTGTCCACCCTTGGGGTGGTCAGTCAGAAGACAGACACAGGAGGGAATGTGGTTAACTTCACTAGAGCAATTCACACGTCTAGTGTTTTGTGGGATTGAAGACCTGAGATCTGAAACCTGCAAGTAGTTCATAGTAGATGCAGTGTCTTTTCTCGGAGATGCCAGCTTTAAACACTGATATGTAAGTTCATAATGGTTCTGTATATTTTATTCAATATTTCTGTAAATCTGTTTGCAGGAAATCCACTTACACAGGATATTCTGAACCTTTATCAGGAACCAGATGGGACGCGAAGGCTACTGAACTATTTGCTTGATAATTTGGCAGGTACTGCAAAAAGAAGTAAGTGATCATTCTTAAAACATTTATTTCTGCTGTGTGAAATAAATGTGATTATCACTTGTTGTATCTCTACTTTAAAATGTTCCCATAGTTTCAACAGAACAACCACCTCCAAGATCTTGGATTATGTTGCAAGAACCAGACCGTACAAGACCAACAGGTACTGTAATACTTTAAGAATTTTTTTTCCCTTTCTTTTTTTTTCCCTTTTATAAAAGCTGTTGATCTTTACTATCTACTGACAAAAAAAAATTAGTGCTTAAATTAACCAATCATCTGTGCAGTGCTTACCAGCCAGCTGAAGTAGTACTATCTCAATTGGAACACCTGTTCCAGATTTACCCATCTTTTACTATAAAGTAATTTCTTTTTTGATTAACATCCTCCTCAAAGGAATTGAAACTGTTGTCCACAATTAGTTAAATAGTTGAATTGTAACAGGCTTAATTGAACATTTGTTGAAGAATAAAAAAATGGAAGACCATAAGCATAATTTCCCCAAAATGCAGAATTTTTTTCTTTTAAGTAACCAATGTGTCATGTTTGACTTGGCACTTTTCTTGCTGTTGGGGTTCAGATCATGTTTAATTATTTACTAATTCCAGCTGCATGAATTGTCTAAAATACAGCCTTTTCTATTTACCTCCACACCAAAAATCGTAGTGCATTTCTTGATTATTGCAGCATCCTCTCTTTCAGAACTGATGTACATTACTCTCCCCTATTGATTTTATTAAGGTGGTTGCTTCAGATATCACACTGTTAATGCAGCTTGTTTTTTGCTGTCACCTATGTATTTTCAAAATGCTGGGCTTTGACCTCCAATCAGCCCAAGATTGTTGCTTCGATTTGATATAAATCATCAAACAACTGTCTTGTTCCTTCTTTCCAAGTTGTAGTCCACATTTTAGAGGAGCTCCCAGTAAGCTTCCAAGTATCTCACAGTTGTACTGCAAATTCCTTAGTGCTTTTTAAAAACAAACAAGAAAACCCCAACAAAACAAAACCCAAAATCCATGCTGCTGGATTACCTGTCAAGTTGCCCCAAACTGTCTCATTATCACTCCTGTTCCAAATTAATACAGAGAGTAGATGTTTCTTGTCTTTACATCTGAATTGTAAGCTTTTTGAGGTGGAAACATTTAGGGTTTTGTTCTGCCTATACTTTTTCCTTGTGTGAAGGGATCCTCACCCTGCCTATGGGTCTGTTACAGTTTGTGGTGGTAATAAAGTAGATTTTAAATAATCTGTTTGAAGAATTTGCAAACCTTTTGTATAGCTGGCAAACATGAGTGTTCAAATACACTTACCTTGTTTTAGGCTTTTCACAGTAGAGCACGGCTTACCATAAAGTACATTTGTCTGCTGTTTCCTGCATTAACCATACAAAGGGAGGGGGGTTGGTTTTTGTTTTCTAATTAAATGCTGGAAGACAGCTGCCATAAGTCCAAATTTCTGATACCTGTGCTATGTTTTGGTTGAAGCAAATGACACATGAATTGGTAGATTTGCAGAAGACAAAAGTGAAGAACGTAATTGTATGTATATTTTGTTGTTGTTAAATATACCGGTGTAGAAGTAAAATTATTGTTCTGCAGCCTTGTTCTCTGTTATGTGTTACAACGTACTCTGTGATAAATATGCTACCCGGCAGCTGTATGGCTATTGTCCGTCTTGGGCATTGAACTGGGAATACAGAAAAAAAGCCATTATGCAGGAAATCCTGAGCTGTAATGCTGACATCATAAGTCTTCAGGTAAAAGATATATACCATTATTTCTTTTCCTTTGTGCTGGTTTCTCTATATTAAGTGTATTTACTGTAAACGATCTGTTTTCAAAACCTTCTGAAAACAAAAGAAAAAAGAAGTGGTGTTTAGAACATTATTTGTTGCTTGACATCAAAAGAATGCTTTTCAGCCCACGCGGTTGGAATGGGAACCAGCAGCTGCTGATCAAAGAGATGTACGTGGGGGTGTCTCTGTGCCTGCGTGTGTATGTGGGGCTATAATTGACACATATTCAAATAAAAGGCTTGAGGTAATCATAACTCTGGAGACTACAGAAATTCATTTGTATTTTCTTAAAATAGGGATATTGCTCTCAAATTTGCATTCTCTGATGTACTTAATTCTTACATTTTTTTGCCCTTTAATTTGGAAGTGATTTACACTTCTGAAGAGTCTAAATAATATCGGTCTTCTGTGTCTTGCTAATAATACATTCATGCTGTGCTGTCTTATAACTTTGTAGGAGGTTGAAACGGAACAGTACTACAGTTTTTTCCTGGTAGAATTGAAAGAACGTGGCTACAATGGATTCTTCAGTCCAAAATCTAGAGCCAGGACAATGTCAGAACAGGAGAGAAAACATGTTGATGGTTGTGCAATATTTTTCAAAACGGAAAAGTAAGTGATGTGTTTTGCCAAGCCTTCTGTCGTGTCTTGCTCTGTTTCACGTAATTTCTCAGGTCAGTCTATAGCTCAGTTTGGCTAGGAAAACTATATCATCTGATTTCAGTTAAGGATTTTATGAAATTATGTGATTGGCTGAGATTTTCACATCATAAATGTGTTTGATCTTTAGGTTAAAGGAGAATTATCTTTAACATTTTCTTTTGAATCTAGCTGCTGAAAAAAATATATATGTTGTTTCACTTTCAGATTTACTTTGGTTCAAAAACATACTGTTGAGTTCAATCAACTGGCTATGGCAAACTCGGAAGGTTCAGAAGCTATGCTGAACAGAGTTATGACAAAAGATAACATTGGAGTTGCTGTATTGTTAGAACTGCGAAAGGAATTGATAGAAATGTCATGTAAGTCCTATTTAGTTTAATGTTTTAATAGATTGTATTTTGTAAATGAAAAAATTTATTTTGTTATAGTAAATCAGAGAAACTAGGTTCTACAGATGAATATAACTTTGCATATTGTACACTTAGACAATTTTATTTCCAAACAGGATTTGGGGAAAAGTCATATTCCTTAAATGATGAAGTTTTGTTTTGTTTTTCCCACTCACACCTTTTTGCTTAAAAAAATACAAAGACTTGAGTTTGCGTGATTATTTTTCTTTTTTTTTTTTTTTTTAATTCCTTGAAGTTTTGTACAGGTATCAAAGAATCGGTTGGTGGTGTATGTTTCTGGATCATGTATCTGCATCGTTTTAGCTTGTTTTTTCTTTACTGCCACGCTTATACAACCTGTTTGTTATGCCCTGTTATTCTTAATTTAGGAAATGTAAATTGGCTTTATAAGTATCACAGTGAGTACTTACTCAACCTGTGTTATATTTATCCAAATGATATTTTATTAATTCAGATTCTAACAAAGAAGCCTTTTAAGAAGCACTTCTAGCAAGAGAGGTAACTTATAATGTGGATAACTTAAAATTCAGAGCTTGTTGCCTAAGAACATACGAGCAGTGCCTGTTTACTATCACAACCTGAAGAAAACTGTAGTAATATTTAGAACGACACTATTTGCCTGTAATTAGGATTATCTGTTATTTATGTTAATTCACAGTATTCTTATGTATATGTGTAACCTGTAACGAGATAGTGTGTCTGTTAATGGTCTTGAATGTGAAACACAATTGTTCCTAATGCTTTATATCAACTAAAACACTTAGTAGATGTAAGAGGAGTTGTATGACCCTCTTAAATTAAATGTTATTAACCCCTTGAAGTTACACTGCTATTTTATTTGGTTTTTTCCTCCCCTCAAATGTCTTGTTTAAAATTCAACAATAGTGTTTTCTGTTGCTGACCGTGTAAGGCCAATAATTGATTTTACATTTTAGCTGGAAAGCCACATCTTGGGATGGAAAAGCAACTAGTTCTTGTAGCTAATGCACATATGCATTGGGACCCAGATTATTCTGATGTGAAGCTGGTTCAGACTATGATGTTCCTGTCCGAGGTAAAGAACATTATTGATAAAGCTTCTCGTAGTCTCAAACCTGGTGTTTCGGGAGAACTTGGAACCATTCCACTTGTACTGTGTGCAGATCTCAATTCTCTACCAGACTCTGGTAAGAGTTCTTTTTTTTTCCTGACAGTTTCAAGTGTGTAACAATTTAAATTTTAAGGTCTCACTTTTTTAAAAGGAGTTTTCAACTTGGAGAATGTATTGTTTGATGTCGTAAGCTCTAAAGCGACTAAGAAAGTAGAAGGAAGAGAAAAAAGATAGAACTGTTTCTTTTGTGAGTGACCTGATTGCCTATGCAGTAGTATAGCTATGTCTGGTCTTTCAGAAGCATTTTCATTGTTACTTTACAATACAGGAATAGAAAGGAACAAAATAACTTTTTAAAAAAAAAAAAAAAAAACAAAAACAAAACACCAAACTGGAAACATGAGTATGTTGCTGATAATTGGGTTTTCTTAAGTGTGAGAAGATAGATTCTTCTTTCTAAAGTTGCCACCATACAATCATTTTCTGCAGCTCAAATGTTTTAGGAGACGTATTGAATTTTTGAAGTCCTACCAGAAAGAGATTCTTCAGACCTCTTTATTAACAGGCAACTTTTTTTTTTTTGACTTGGTGGCAACTTTGTAAAGTGCAAGAAAAGAACATATTCAATGGTCGCCTTCTTGGCTTTCTCAGGTACCCAGCTGGAGTGCTGAACTCAAGAGCCATCCTTCTTACTTATTGCTAGTTGTTCAATATAATAATAATCTCCATTCTTGGTCCCCCTTCCTTCTGGCCTCTGCTTGCCAACTCTTAACAGCTGTTAGGGTTGATAAGAGCAGTTACTGCTCATCAGTACTGGAAATCTGATTCTTTTTAATCCCAAGAAGGCAAATATCACTAGTGGCTCTTGCAGTAGCCAGTTCACGTGTCTTCAGAATAACTAATTGCTGCTTTTACCTTTCAGAACCTTAACAGGGCTGTTCTGAAATTGAGGCACGATCATAGTTTTCCAAGACGCAAGTCTTGTCAATTTGGCTTCACAACCTCTTTAAAGTTAATTTTGTTTGAACTAGTGTTACAAAAGTTGGCTTTTTTGCAACGTTTGAGCTGAAGAATGTTGAAGGCCAGGACTTCAGCATAAAGACGAGGACAGGGGGAAGCTGACTACTGAGCATCTATAGAATTTTACTTTTACTTTTTTCATCTCCCCTTCCTAGTCTGTTCCTTAACCTTCACATTTTTTCTGATCAGAGCATGTCTCTCTGTTCTAGGTGACATTTGCTCATGACATACATATACTTGCAATATTTTAAAAGAACTACTGCTGACTGTATTGTATGTGTGTTGAAGTTTTGATTATATAAAGCATAAAGTTGCATGCATGACTCAAAGTACTTGCACACCCTTATTTGCTGAATGCTTGTTAATACCTTCTTGTGTGTATGTGCCTCTTCTGATAGGTGTTGTTGAGTACTTGAGCACTGGTGGAGTGGAAACAAACCACAAAGATTTTAAGGAACTGAGATACAATGAAAGTCTTACTAACTTCAGCTGTAATGGAAAAAATGGAACAACAAATGGAAGAATTACACATGGTTTCAAGTTGAAGAGTGCCTATGAGAATGGTCTAATGCCTTATACAAATTACACATTTGACTTCAAGGTGAGGACTTAGCTGATGTTTTGGAAAAGTTTTCCATTTTGAAGTTTAACTGGTGTGATTTGCTGTATGGAATTGTTTAACAAAGAAGTTAATCTGTTTGGGTAGCTAGTGGTAAATTCACCAGGTTTATATTTAAAACATGGCAGACTAGAGTGCCCAACAATTCAGTCTCCTAGAAACCAAATTTTCCTTTTTCTTGTTAGTAACTTGTAATAGATTTGGAAGAGTTGAAGTGCTGTTAACCTTACCTGTAAATATGAAGATTCTGTGTTTTAATACGCCAAGCTAAATGAAATAGTACAACAAGGGCACTTAAGCTGTCAACTGTAAGCAAATAATCTGTGTTGCTGCTGGAAAATTCTCGGTGCTCTGTTGCCCAGGGGAAACAAAGATGGCTCTCTTCCTTTTCAAAATCAGTTAAATGTGATTTGAAGCTATGTAGGAAGTTGGAAACTACAACCCACAAAAGCGTAGCAGAAGTGAGGCAGGGTGGACTTTTCTTTTGTTTTCCGAGTCTATATTGAGCCAGCCCATGGGCTATAGAAAGTAGAAGTCTCCTAAGTTGGTGATGTGCTATGGAGAAGGAATGGTAGCATTTCACTCACTCGTAATACTGAGCTCACTTTTTGTTTGGAAGGATAACTTGAGTTAAGAACATACTAACAATTGATTTTATTTCTTGTCTTGTTTTAGGGTATTATTGACTACATCTTCTACTCTAAACCTCAGCTAAACATACTTGGCATTCTTGGACCTTTGGATCACCATTGGTTAATAGAGAACAATATAAGTGGTTGTCCACATCCACTCATCCCTTCTGACCACTTCTCACTTTTTGCACAACTGGAGCTTTTGCTGCCTTTCCTGCCTCCTGTAAATGGAATCCATCTCCCTGGCAGGAGGTAGTCAAGTACATTTTAGAGGGCAACCTCAATCTAACTTGTACAATTGTAAAATCTGAATATAGAGGAGTGAGGTATGGCCAACAGGGATTTTTTTTTTTTTTTCTTAATAATCTTAATCTTAAATCTAATTATTTGCTAAAGACATAGTAAAAGCCAGGTGCTATCAACAGACACAATTCTGAGCCCAATATACTTTGTATACTGTTTGACGGCGATTGGTGCATTTGCACCTTTCTTTAGTATGTTACAATTAACCTTCCTGTTTCTTTTATCCAACGTGACATTTCCATGCCTTGAAATAGGGAATTGTTATACAGTATATATTCTCTTTGCACAGTTATCTGTAGCACTACTTTTTTGAGGCCAGTAGGAACATCCATAGAACATTCTTCCATACTTCACTCCCTCCTTTTTCAGACTTGTTTGTAAAATATAGAATTTGAATTTAGCCTTTATTGATTGTATATGAACAACAGAAAACCTGATTTATGAGATTTTGTACTTTAAAAAAAAAAAAAAAAGAAAAATCAGATTTGGAAAATGATTGTATTGTAAACTAAGGCTAAATTTTTATCTGTTTTCATGTGTTATAAAGGCCAGCTTGTAAAAGAGGTTGTCACAGGTTTTCTCTGCCAGTGATTTGCACTGTTAGGGTTTTGTTAGCCCTTTTGTACTACTTTTTATGTTCAATTGAGAACATTGCTTTTAAAATCCAAACCTATAAAATTGTAATATCTTACAGAGATAACTAAATACATTCTGTCTATTTCTGATTTTTTTAAAAAAAAGAAAAGCATAGAGTTCTCACAGAACAGATAAGCTAAGCAGTGACTATAAGTAGACCTGTATGGATTGAAAGTTATTGCTGATGTGTATACACTCAGATATTTTTCTCCTCTCTAACTTTTGAAGTAAAATTTAGGGATACTTGTGTACAGCTTCTTCATTTCTGTTTTAAATACTTGTCCTATCTCCACTGTGCCTGCTTAAATTTGTTCTCAACTAGCACTGCCTGTGCATGCAGAGAGATCCTGTGCATCCTCTTTTATTTTTTTAAATAATGTTAACACTTGTGAAAATTTTATGAAGATACTTTTGTATAAGCTGTGGCATCTTTTTTTTCCTTTGTGAAGCATTGAATATCACACTTTTTGAACATGTTCAGGTTATGGGTACACAGTTTCTAGCTTCTAATACCCATGCACTGCTTCTTTCAGTGTCATTGCACAGTGCTGTTTTTCCCACTAAGAATTACTATCATGTGAATTCTCTTTCGTTTAAGTGTGTTCCTCAGTTTCAGAAAGTATAATTCCTCGAAGAAAAAAAAAACCCAACCCTACATTTTCTATTGATGAAGCAGTGTAAAATAAATGCATTTTCAATACAGGTCCCGAAGACAATTCTTCAGATCATTTTTTTTAAAGTGACCAAGTCTTATTTTAAAGTGTCAAGCAAGACTAAAGTTATAGTGTACCCTCAGTGCCATTTGTGTCACGAAGCCAAGTAAATAACAGCTTACAAATTTAACTTGTCTATTTGTATCCTAAAAGGGAGAATTTATCATCTCCTTAAACTAATACGACTTGAATAATCAATGTAAAAAAAAAAAAAAAAATGGAGATAGAGAGCTTGGTCTTAAACAGCTTTTGTTTCAGCTGCGGGCAGGGAAGCAAAAGGACACTGAGCATTAAGAGAAAACTTTCTACATATTGTGAATTTTTATATATAAGAGAGTGGATTGGTAATAATGATTCAAATTTTTATGGAAAAGTAGTCAGCACACAAGTGTGCTCAAACCGTTCTGTTTTAAGCTGAAAGTAAGAATTACAAACAGTTCGGGTGTGTAAAATGTACATTTTAAAATTTCAGTAGGAGAAATTTTGATCTTGAATCCTTGTCTTGGACCTGATCTCTTGGGGTTATTTGGTTTTGGTTTTAGTTGTGCAAACACCAAACATGTCCAGTTTATAATCAGTACATTGAAATGCTGGTAGTGTTGCTGTAGTAGACTTAATGCGTAGTGTTATTTTTTTTCTGTTTGTTTTTTTGGGTTTTTTTTGTAAAGTGTGAATAAAAGGTGTTTTACTCCTGTTTCCTTAATGATGTCTTGGTAACGTACATCATGACAATTTCCAGTGGTGATGAGCCAATTTAGCTTGTCAAACTAAGCAAACTATTTTTCTTTTCTGATTATCTGGATTGTGTAATGAGTCCAGAAAGCTTTACAGAAGGGGAAGGGAAGCACTTACTCATTTTTTGTATTTCTTAGAGGGGGATAATTTACTTTAATAGATGCTGGAGCTTGAGTGCACTTGTTAGATTCTAAAGGTTTGAGCTTTATCCCATATGTGTTCTCCTGTATTGCTTAGTCTTAAAAAATATTTGAATTTATGACAGCATGTTAAAATGTGGCCCCTCGTGCTTTGGAGACACAACTGTTCCTCCTTAGTCACCTTGCAGTCTAAGGGTCCATTTAAATAACTGTTTCCTCCAGCTTTTATACTTGTCCCATCAGGTCCCAATCGAAAACCCACTGAAGACATTGAAGACACTCCTTTGACTTCACTGGGTTTTAACTAGACTGCAGCTATGACTCGGGGGCTGAAGGAAGGAGAAATACTTGG